CTAAACAACGACAACTACAATAACAATAACAAAAATAACTGGGCATTGTAGTGGGCACCTGTAGTCCCAACTATTTGGGAGGCTGAGGCAAGAGAACGACTTAAGCCCAAGAGTTTGAGGTTGCTGTGAGTAGTGATGCCACGGCACCTACCAAGGGCGACATAGTGAGACTCTGTCTCAGAAAAAAAGACACAGGGAGAAGGTCATGTGCAGAGGGAGGATTAGAAAGATGAGTCTGTAAGCCCAGGAATGTCAAAGATTACAGCAAACAAGCAGGAGCTAAAGAGGTAAGGAAGGGTTCCCCCACAGGTTTCAGAGGGTATATGGCCCTGCTAATACCTTGATTTCAGCCTGCAGATCTGTGAGATAAGAAATTCCTGTTGTTTTATGCCACTCAATTTGCAGTATTTTGTTATGGCAGTCCTAGGAAACCAACTGGCCTTGACTTTGAACCTTTGCAAATAATGGGGGAAGGGAAACAGTGAGTCATCCGAACATCATGACCTATGGTTTTCAATAACTTTCCAGTTTATTTTCTGATAAGCGAAAATATTTTTAAGAACATGCCCAGTGAACACAGGAATGCTAGGAAAGCAAAAAATAAAGGACACGCGGGAAACAACAGGCAGTTGAAATTTTAATACAATGAGGAATTGACTTAAAAATTAAAAAATCAGTGTCACAGCATTGGTTTGTATAAATTAGTATTTACAGTTGTAGTAAAATGAAGTTTCACAAAGTTAAATTCCCTTGACACTTCAGGTCAACATCAATGTAATTCTTTACAGCCTACTAAATGGTCATATTTTACTTTTGTTTTAAAGCATTGGTGCTCTTCTTAAGTGAAAAGTTAACATAGGGCCCAGTATATAAACAGGAAGTTGTTCCAGCTGAGAGGGGCTCCTATAAAGGGTCTCACACTTCTGTAGACGCTGCCTCTTCAGACACAGTGTAGTCCTACTATGTACAGTCTGAGAACCAGGGAATTCAAATATTACCAATATGCACGGATAAAGTTTTCACCGACACAGAAAAACTAGAAGTTCATTCAGTGACCCACACTTTCCAAGCTTCAGCTTTTCCATATGGTTTTCTTTCTGGCTTATTCTTCAGAAAACTCTCGGCATGTGGTTTGAATGGCAGCTATCATAGGCAGAGACGGTAATTCTACACCTGGGAAATTATCTACAAGATAGATGCTGCTGAATAAAATCCAGTGCTGATGATATTTTTTAAGGAAGTCTTTTGTTCATACTGACAAAAATAAAAAAGCACCAGGTCCTGTTCTGGTACTTTCCAAAAATATTAACTCATTTGCTCCTCATAACAACCTTATGAAGCAGGTCCTATTATTAGCCCCATTTTACAGAGGGGAAATAGGCACAGAGAGATCGAGCAACTTGCCTAAGAGCCCAAAGCTTGAAATGTTAATGGCTTCATATCAGAGCAAGTGTCTACTAAAAAAAATACGCTTCAATGCCTTTTTTCAAGGGAAGAAATGACACCCTTGAATAGGTGTTGCCTTTTTCCCTTGGAAATAATCCTTTAAGAATCCCTTTGGCAGGTAGGGCCTGTGGCTCAAGGAGTAGGGCATAGGCCCCATATACCAGAGGTGGTAGGTTCAAACCCAACCCCGGCCAAAAACTGCAAAAAAAAAAAAAAAAAAAAAAGAATCCCTTAGCAATTTCTCTTAGGAAGAAAAATTAGTCCTAGAAATGTCCTAGGAACCTGCCTGAGTAAAAATGGAAAAAGCAAGGTTGGGTACAGTGGTTCATGCTTGTAATCCTAGCACTTTGGTGGACTGCCTGAGCTCAGGAGTTCAAAACTAGCCTGAGCAAGAGCAAGATCTCATCTCTACTAAAAATAGAAAAATTATCCAGGTATGTCAGGCACCTATATTCTCAGCTACTTGGGAGGCTGAGGCAGGAGAATCTTTTTTTTTTTTTTTGAGACAGAGCCTCAAGCTATCCCTCTGGATAGAGTGCTGTGGCATCACAGCTCACAGCCAACTTCCAACTTCTGGGCTCAAGCGAGTCTCCTCCCTCAGCCTCCCAGGTAGCTGGGACCACAGGTGCCCACCACAACGCCCGGCTATTTTTTGGTTGCAGCCATCATTGTTTGGTGGGCCCAGGCTGGATTTGAACCTGCCACCTTAGGTGTATGTGGCTGGTGCCTTAGCCACTTGAGCCACAGATGCCAAGCCTGGATGATCTCTTGAGCCCAAGAGTTGCTGTAAGCTATAATGATGCCACAGTACTGTAGCCTGGGCAACAGAGTGAGACTGTCCCCCTCCACCCCACCTCCATAAAAAAAAAAAAAAACAGTGGAGGGGGAAGCAGCACCAGAATTGATAGTCCATTTGCTCATCACACTGCAAGGAGATGATCTCTAAAATGGCAGCACATTTTGATGAGATTGACAAATGGGAAACTGTATACAAAGTATTTCTTCCACTCTTGGTAAAAGGTTCTTAGTAAATGTGAATTTTGTTTTGAAATGTTTGAGTGAAATCGTATTTTTTAACAATGCATCCTGGTTAAAATAACTAGAAGCTGATTCAGGAAGCATTTGCTCTTCTACCAAAGGGACTAGCATAAAAACGCAGTAAATAAATAGCAAATTCATAAAAAATGGTTTCAAATAAGGTTTAAGAATAACCTTGTATGTCCCAATTCATTACTTTATCATATTCTTGAATTCTTTGCTTTATGTGAGAAAGTTTATTCTTCAGATAATCACAGCGTTCTTTTTTTTCCAGAAATGTAGGATCCTGTAAAAGAAACATAACTATTACGTTAGTTTCTGGCTTTTGCAGCTAAGAACACAGAAACAGATACTGTCACTCAGAAAATGACCATACACGGCATAATTATTTACAGCAGATTTCAAAATCTCTCTAGTCCAGAATAACAGTTAAGCTCTGTATATATATATATATATACACATATATATATTTTTTTTTTTTAATTTTTTTTTT